GCTCATTACAGAAGAAAGCGTGATCAATATCACTTTTGCCTTTGCCCGAGATGATATCAAGATCAGTTAGTATCTCTTATTCAGTTCGATACTAGCATATTTTGTGAATTTGATCAAGTTTTGGTCATGAAACACACCAACATTTCACTTGTATTCCCATTGAGTTTTGTTCTCAAGTGATCTTGTGACATCATACAAAAGCTTTGAACAAATATGCAAAGAGTTTCATTGATTGAGAAATCTTGGCAGAAGCCACAGGAAAAGATGAATGTGTTGTCAAATGTTTTACATCTAAGTAGAAACCACAGGAAATGATGAATGTGTTGTCAAATGTTTTACGAACCAGTTATTCCGATGCTAAACCAATGTTGTTATCATATGGTTTTCCTTTATTGATCCAAGATAAATTTTATCTTCTTCAACCCCAAGATTAAAAGTGAGATATGATGAAGATTTATTTCCACAGAAGGAGAGCTGAAATTTTAACAACAAGAAACTAGTGGAGCCAATTATGGTTGAACGATAGGTTGTTGTTAAACATCTCGACATGATATGGTCCAAGTTGCCTTGTTCGAGATCCAATTAGATGTGGAGACATGAAAGGAATTAGGATAAATCTTCCTTATGATCTGTTTCAAGAGTCAAATCAGAACATACTCTACTCTCCTAATTAATCCCCGCTGAGTCAGACATATCTACATCTACACTCTTCAAAGATGTTAGATTCTCTTTTTAAAGATGATAGATTCTCTTTTCAAAGATGAAAGCTTTATTGGATTTCTACACAAGTCCAAGCAAAGAAAGGTGGTTTTATCAAAGACAGAATAGTGCATCAAGATCATAGTTTGGACTATGGCAAGAGTTCCATAAATGAAACATTTCCTCTGAGACTTTAAAAAAGCAAAGAAGACACAAAGATACCAGTTGATCAAATGGTTCTTCAGCCTTATGGCATAAGTTGCTACACTGATATCCAGAGGTAACCTTGGCAATAAATAATGAAGTGAAGGAAGACCAAGTTCACCACTTTGAAGTCAAATGAATATTGAATCAACATTCATGCATTCATAAAAACATCATTTGCACAATAGATAATGCATTACATTGATACATCTGAGTGCATTCAAACATGAAGTTTTACAGATTGGGTAGAATTCAAAACCGCAAATACATGAATCACGCAAACATCTGAAGAATATATGGACGTAATCCACAAGAATGAGCATTATCTTGAGATTGGGTCATGTTACCCAATCAACATGATATTTTGAAAAATAATGAGAAAACGATTTTCATAGTTTCTCATTTTATCTTTTCTAAAATGAAATTGTTGAAAAGTAAGAAAACGATTTTCTTAGTTTTTTTACTTAGTAAACTATTTCCAACAGCATTATCTTGAGATTGGGGCATGTTACCCAATCAACATGTTATTTTGAAAAATAATGAGAAAACGATTTTCATAGTTTCTCATTCAATCTTTTCTGAAAATGAAATTGTTGAAAAGTAAGAAAACGATTTCCATAGTATCTTACTTAGTAAATTATTTCCCACATCCATAAGACCTACATTGCAGGATGTTTTCAAATAGCAATTTATCTCACTTGAGATTGTTTTTGTTAAAACAAATTTGTCTCGCTTGAGACAGTTTCACTCGAAACAGAACTTTATCTCACTTGAGATTGTTTTTCTTAAAACAAAATTTGTCTCGCTTGAGACAGTTTCACTCGAAACAGAACTTTATCTCACTTGAGATTGTTTTTCTTAAAACAAATTTTGTCTCGCTTGAGACAGTTTCACTTGAAACAAAAATTTATCTCACTTGAGATTGTTTTTCTTAAAACAAAGATTTATCTCGCTTGAGACAGTTATTTCGAGTTATTTTGAAATGGGGCATGTTACCCAATCAACAAGTTATTTTGAAAAAGAATGAGAAAATGATTTTCCACAGTTTCTCATTCAATCTTTTCTGAAAATGAAATTGTTGAATAGTAAGAAAACGATTTCCATAGTTTCTTACTTAGTAAACTATTTCCCATATCTGTAAGTCCTACAGTGCATGATGTTTCCAAAAAGCCTTCGGGAGCTTTTTGATGTTTTCAAAGCCTTAGGGCCATCTGTAAGTCCTACAGTGCATGATGTTTCCAAAAAGCCTTCGGGAGCTTTTTGATGTTTTCAAAGCCTTAGGGTCATCTGTAAATCCTGCATTGCATGTTGTTTCCAAAAAGCCTTCGGGAGCTTTTTGATGTTTTCAAAACCTTCGGGTCATCTGTAAGTCATGCGGTGCATGATGTTTCCAAAAAGCCTTCGAGAGCTTTTTGATGTTTTCAAAGCCTTAGGGTCATCTGTAAGTCCTACAGTGCATGATGTTTTCAAAAAGCCGTCGGGAGCTTTTTGATGTTTTCAAAACCTTCGGGTCATCTGTAAGTCCTGCAGTGCATGATGTTTCCAAAAAGCCTTCGGGAGCTTTTTTGATGTTTTCAAAGCCTTAGGCTCATCAGTAAGTCCTACAGTGCATGATGTTTTCAAAAAGCCTTCGGGAGCTTTTTGATGTTTTCAAAACCTTCGGGTCATCTGTAAGCCCTTCAGTGCATGATGTTTTTAAGACCTCTGGGATGATGTTTTCAACATTTCAGTTTTACTCAAAAGAAGTCAAATAAAAATTATTATCTTTTTCGTCTTTGCTCTATTCTTGTTAACACAAGAATGAGCAAAGAGGGGCAGCTGTAAACACTAATTTTTCATTTTACTTAATTTATTATTATTAAAATTATTATTATTATTATTATTATATATTATATATATTATGATTATTTAATAAATATTACAAACCATTTTACAAATCTGGAAGACCAATCAGATTTGGCCCATACTTAGATGGCCCAAGACTAACCCTAAATAAAGCTAGGGTTTTCATCCTCAACACCCAGCCGTCATTGCTCACAGCCGTTGGATCATGCTAAGATCCAACGGTCCACAGGAGGTCCAGCATGATGCATCTAGGGTTTCTAAACCCTAGCTTCTACGTTGCCGCCGCTGAGAAAGATTAACAGTCGCCGCCTCTGCTGTCATCGTTCCACACTGCCAGATGGTCCAACACCCCGCTGCCGACACCACTGCTTCAACCAACTGCTACCAGATGCCTCAGCCATCTTCCACGACACCCACACAAGTCTCCAGAAGGCCAGCTGCCCCTCTACGCGTCGATGTTCAAGGGTGACTCACCGAAGACCGCCTTATTATACGGTCCGAAGAGAGCCTCTTCGAGGCCTATAAAATCGAACCTGCAAAAAAAAAAGAGAGACATCAAAAAAGAGAACAGAGAAGCAACGAGAACACAGCAACCAACAGCAAACATCAACAATCAAAAATAAAAACAGAGAAAAAAAAGAACTTACCCCCGAGATACCAAACGTCACCGGAAACTTTTGTAAATCAAGGTAAACCTTCGGCTTTTGTTTAGATCTACATCTATTGAAAGAGTTTTAGGAGAAAAAGAAATTAGATTTGGGTTTAGGGGAAACAAAGGATCGATTTAGGCTATTTTTCCAAACTCCGGCCACCGTGAACGGTGGCCAGTGGCGGGGATCGGAGCCGGAGCATGGTGGCCGTCCGGTGGCCTTATCCCTCCGGTGAGGGAATTTGTAGAGAGAAGCCAGAGAGAACTCTGGCTCTCTCATTATTGAGAGAGAAGAAGAAGAGAAGAAATGAGGATGCTGGCCCTTCGGGCCAGCCGTTTAGGGTATTTAAATACCCTCTGCCAAACGACGCCGTTTTGGGGGAGGGTGTTTCTGTAATTTCATAAAGGGTAAACCCCGTCCGCAATGCTCCAATTTTGTATACCTTGCAATTTAGTCACTGAAAGCAATTTTTGCCTATTATAATTTAGTCTTCGAAGTTTATTTTATTTTATTTTAGTCATGTCCAGTATAATTATATATTTAGGGTGAATACTGAATTTAGTCTCTTATAGTTTAGTAATTAATATTTTAATCTGAATAGCATGTTTTAATTTATTCTAATTTGACATTCGAATTTAATATAGTTTTATTTAGTCCATAAATTAATAAATGAGTAAAATAACATGTTTAATCCCTGTAATTTTAAATAATTAATTATAAATTAGGTATTTAATTCTATTAGGTTATAATTTAGTCACTAATTTCAATTTTTATTTATTTTTTACAAGTTTTATTTATTTTAAATATATAGTTTTAATTTTATTCATTGTTTAGTTATATGTTAATTTTATATGTTTACTTTTAATTATTATTACTATTATTATTATTATTTAGCCATAAATATATATATTTATATAATACATAATATTTATTTTATTTATTAAAATCTTATTTAATTACTTTTAACTTATTTTAATCCTATTTTAATATTTATTTATTTTTCAATATTAAGAAATGGCAGTCTTAAAACAACTGGATGTCCATTTTCTGATATTTTTAAATAAATAAATATCCTATTTTATAAATTATATTAATTGTTTTAATTATTTATTTATTTATTTATTTTTTAATATCGAAGAAAAGAACTGTCTTAAGGCACCTAGAAATCCTTTTCTGATATTTCTAAATAAATAAATATTTTATTTATAAATATATATAAATTAATATTTTTTTCATAATTATAATTTTGAAATAATAGGATTATAAATTAAATATATTTTGAATTTTTAAATTTCTAATAATAGAGACAATTTATAATTAAAAAGTACCAATTTTGGGCGTTGTAGGGGTGCTAATCCTTCCCTAAACGTAACCGACCACGAATCCCTTTTTATTATTAAAAAGAACGAATTTTTGGTTAAAACGCATATCCGTTTATCTTTTAACTGATATTTTCTTAAAAACTCTTTTAAAAGATAATTTTTAGGTATTCGACCTACCTGACCCAAAAGGCCGATGGCGACTCCCAAATTATTTTAAACCATTTATTCACATTATTTTCCCGCCGAGTAAAAAATTTGTGCTCGGGCAAAAATACAACAGTGTGCATCCTCATTATGAAGCTGAAGCTGATAATAACCTGGACCCTTCAAACTTGAAATATATCAGAGTACGGCTTTTAAATGGTAAAACCCTCATTTCCTTTTAGTCATGATGCTCAATTTTATATTATTCATGTACTGATTTTCAGTGCAGTTGTGCTTCCTGTTAGTATGTTCTGTAATATTAAAATTCAACTCGAGCCATATAAAACTGTTGCTTAATGGTTTGTGGCTTTGCGCTATAGCATACAATATGTTCTCTTTAGAAGTAATTTGTTTGCTAATCCGAAGACTGAAAATTCTTGAAACAGGTGTCCAGTCAGCATACTGGGGAATGCTTGATGAAGGGAGAATTTCACTAAGTACAGCAAATATTCTGATGCAATCTGTAGATGAACCTATTGATGTGGCATCTCATGAACCTTTATGTGATTGGAAGGGCTTAAAATCTTATGTTCATTTCCCAAATTATTACAAGTTTCTTCAGACAAGTATGTTCCCACAAAAACTGATCACGTATTTCACTGTGGAAAGGCTGGAAAATGGGTGCTGTGTTTGTGCTGCATTTCTTTGAGCTCATAGAATTGCACAACGGCAACTTCATGAGTTTATAGGTAATGATCATTCTATGATGTATCCTTTTGACTTTCTTTTCAATGTTCTTGGATTTTATCTCCCTCTATTTGGTTTGCTTGAATTTTTCACTTAAGTATAGGATTCCAACTTCCAATCCTTCATTTGAAACAACCTGCTTATTTCGTATAACTTCACTTCTCTGTTTAGTTGACAGTGTTGTTGCTTCTACTGTAATCTCTGAAAGTGAGGCTGAAGGAGAAGAGGCCAGGAAGTTTTTGGAATATGTCCGTACAACTTTTCCACAGGTATGTCAACCATATCTAATTGTATTTATCCAGTAGCCTTTCTCATCTATACTTCAAACTTATTAATCCGTTTGAAAAACATCTTCAGGTTTTGCGTGTTGTTAAAACAAGACAAGTGACCTACTCGGTATTGAACCATGTGATGGATTATTTACAAAACCTCGAGAAGGTTGGTTTACTGGAAGAAAAGGAAATGCTTCATCTTCATGATGCTGTCCAGGTAGCTTTTCCTGGTACCAAAGTTGCATGTTAAGGCGGTTTATTCTCTCGATATTGCTATTACACGAACGATACAATATCATGGTTTCCCTTCGTTTCTGCAGACTGACTTGAAGAAGCTTTTAAGGAATCCTCCCTTAGTAAAGATTCAGAAAATAAATTATCTTATAAGTGCACATCCTTTACTAGGCTCCCTTCCTTCTACTGTCCTCCTTCCTTCTACTGTCCACGAAAAACTTCGGGTTTCTACTAAAAGAAAAAATGAAAACACGTGGTATGACAATTAACAAAGAGGGTTCTAAACCAAATGGCATTTGGCTTATTTCAAATGGTGTTGTCAAGGTACCTAAATATTTCTGCATGCAAGACTCAACTTGCCAATTCTTCTTAAATATAACCTCAGTGTTTCTTTGAAGCATATTTTCAATTGGAAATTGTCATTTGGCAGTGGACGAGTAAGAGCATAAGAAATAAGCACTCAGTGCATCCAACTTTTGTTGAAAATATTTGCAGTCGGTGGCTGTTAAAATTGAATTCAAATAGGGCTGTTGTTGAATTCAAATGGGGCTGCTTAGAATTCAAATGTAGGTTACCTAATTGTGTTGAAAATGTTAATGGTTAAATCATATAATTAATCATTGTATTTTAGGGTAATTTCAAGATTAGTCCCTAAGTTTCAACTATAAATACCCTTACCCATTTAGCTTCAAAATCATCCCAAAAATCATTTCTTTCTCCCATTACTAGAGAGCTTTCTTGTGAGTAGTGAGTGTTTTGTAAACACCTATAAATTTTCTCTCTTAGTAAAAGATCTGCAGCAGTCCGGAGACGTAAGCAAAATTGGCTGAACTCCGTTATCAATTTCGGATATTATTTTTCTGCTTTTATTTCGCATTCTCACTAATCTGGTTATAGGAAAATTACTCAGTTTAATTTCCCAACAACTGGTAATCATAGCTTTTGGTTGTGAATTTTGTCAATTTTTTGCGAGGTTACTATCACTTGAATAGTAAATTTCGTGAATAATTAATTTTTTCGGCGATACGAATTTGTCGACGGATGTGTTCTAATACACGGTGGTTTGCAAGAATTGTCATAAACGATCCAAACGAAGCCAGATTCGAGTGGGAGCGATGGCTGCAGACGAAGGGAAGGTGAAAATTGAGAAGTTCGATGGTGCGGACTTTGGCTTTTGGAAAATGCAGATTGAAGATTTTCTGTACCAGAAAAATCTTTATCAACGTCTCTCAAGAAAGCAACCAGAGGACATGAAAAATGAAGACTGGGCTCTTCTCGACAGACAAGCCCTCGGAGTTATCTGACTGACGTTGTCCCGAAATATTGCTTTCAACATAGCAAAAGAAAAGACCACGGCGGGTCTTATGGCGGCTCTCTCCAGTATGTATGAGAAGCCATCGGCCTCAAACAAAGTTCATTTGATGAGGCGGATATTCAATTTGCGAATGGCGGAAGGGGCATCAATGGCTCAATACCTAAATGAACTCAACACAATCACAACCCAGTTGAGTTCAGTGGAAATTGAATTCGATGATGAAGTTCGAGCTTTAATTCTCTTATCATCTCTACCAGACAGTTGGAATGCTACTATTACAGCAGTCAGCAGCTCGTCGGGAAATAACAAATTAAAATTCGATGATGTTCGAGATCTGGTATTGAGTGAAGAAATTTGACAGAGAGAATCGGGTGAAGCATTAACCTTCTCAGCCTTACACACGGAGTCCAGAGGGAGAACTTCATAAAGAAATTCAAATCGTGGCAGATCCAAGTCCAGAACGGGAAAATCAAGAACAGGAAAGAAAGATTTTACCTGTTATAACTGTGGCAAGAAGGGTCACTTTAAAAGAGATTGTCGAGCACCGAAGAAAAATACCGGCGTACAGGAATCTGCCAACGTGACAGAGGAGACGGGTGATGCCATGATTCTAAGCGTCAACAGTCCGATTGAATCATGGATCTTAGATTTAGGGGTATCTTTCCACTCCACCCCATGCCGAGAAATCATGGAGAACTATGTCAGTGGTGATTTTGGAAGGGTTCATCTAGTTGATGATGAAACCTTGAAGATCGTCGGAAAAGGAGACATCCGATTAAAGTTGTCAAACCAGACCACCTGGACACTGAAAGGAGTGAGACATATTCCTGGCCTCAAAAGAAATTTGATTTCTGTAGGACAGCTTGATGGAGAAGGATATAATACAACCTTTTTAGGCTGTGAATGGAAGATTACCAAAGGAGCACTCGTCATTGCTCGTGGTAAGAAGACTGGTACTCTCTATGTAACCTCAAATTTAGGGAATAACATTGCTGCAGCAGATGCTGATGGAAAATCAAACCTATGGCACCAAAGGCTTGGCCATATGAGCGAGAAAGGGATGAAGACACTTTTGTCAAAAGGGAAGCTGACGGATCTAAAGAATGTAGATGTCGGACTATGCGAAGATTGCATCTTTAGCAAACAAAAGAAAGTCAGTTTTGCAAAGATTGGCAAGACACCCAAGGCAGAAAAGTTAGAGTTGGTTCATACTAATGTATGTAGATTATCTCCAATTCCATCTCTTGCAGGCTCATTATATTATGTCACCTTCATCGATGATTCTACAAGGAAGGTGTGGGTTTATTTTCTGAAGAAGAAATCAGAATTCTTTGATACCTTCAGAAAATGGAAAGTCATGGTGGAAAATGAGATTGGTTTGAAAGTCAAGCGGTTGAGGTCTGATAATGGAGGAGAGTACAAAAATAAAAGATTCAGAAATTTCTGCGCAAATAATGGGATAAAGATGGAGACAACAGTTCCCATGACACCGCAGCAGAATGGCGTAGCAGAGCGTATGAACAGAACTCTAAATGAACGTGCCAGAAGCATGAGGATACATGTCGGACTGCCCAAATTTCTATGGGCTGAAGCTATCAACACTGCAGCTTACTTGATCAACTGTGGGCCCTCAGTTCCTTTGGATGGCAGAATACCGGAGAAAGTTTAGAGCAAGAAAGAAATAAACCTTTCACACTTAAGAGTGTTTGGTTGTATTTTTTTATGTACACATAGATTCTGCTGAAAGAAGTAAACTTGATGCCAAGTCCAACAAATGCGTCTTTGTTGGTTATGGTGGTGATGAGTTCGGTTACCGATTTTGAGACTATGAAAATCGAAAGATCATCAGAAGCAGAGATGTCATTTTCAATGAGAGTGTGATGTACAAATACATATCAACCATAGAATCAAGTAGCTCAAACACCGAAGATGAAACAAAGGAATTTGCTGAGTTCGAGGAGATTTTTGGAAATGATGTCCAGATCAGTCCTGAAGCAGTTCAAGAAGAACCAGGCACACCAGAACTGAGACGCTCCTCCAGAATTCCTAAACCAACCCAACGGTATTCTCCTTCTTTGCACTACTTGTTGCTGACTAACAATGGTGAACCAGAGTGCTATGATGAAGCAATGCAAGTGGAGGATTCAGTCAAGTGGGAGTCTTTCAAGAAAGATGAGATGGACTCGCTTATATCAAATCAGACATGGGAATTAGCTGAATTACCACCAGGCAAGAAAGCACTCCGTAACAAGTGGATTTACAGGATCAAATAAGAGCACGATGGGAGCAAACGCTACAAAGCAAGATTGGTTGTCAAAGGCTTTCAGCAAAAAGAAGCTGCAGAGAATTTACATCTTGAGCAGTTAGATGTAAAGACAGTTTTCCTTCATGGCGATTTGGAGGAAGAAATCTATATGAGGTAGCCATAAGGCTTCATAGAGGCAGGCAAGAAAAACCTGGTATGCAGGTTGAAGAAGAGCTTGTATGGTTTAAAACAAGCTCCTAGACAGTGGTATAAGAAGTTCGATAGTTTTATGGGTAGCAATGGTTTTACCAGATGCCAAGCAGATCATTATTGCTACATCAAGAGGTTTGACAATAGCTTCATTATTTTATTATTGTACGTTGATGACATGCTCGTTGCAGGCTCAGACATGCAAGAGATTATAAACTTGAAGCAAAAATTTTCAAAGCAATTTGCTATGAAGGATCTGGGCGCTGCAAAGCAGATTCTTGGTATGAGGATCAAGAGAGACAAAAAGTAGGGGACTTTGATATTATCACAGGCTGAGTACATCAGCAAAGTACTCTCCAGGTTCAACATGTAAGATGCTAAACCAGTAAGTACACCTTTAGGTGTTCATTTCAGACTCTGCAAAAAACAGTCACCAAAGACGGAGGAAGAACGTGCACACATGGTGAAGGTGCCGTATACCTCAGCAATTGGAAGTCTGATGTATACCATGGTTTGTACCAGACCTGATATTTCTCAAGCAGTGAGAGTTGTTAGCAGGTACATGAATAATCCGGGCAAGGTACACTGGGAAGTAGTCAAATGGATCCTCATATATCTACGGGGTACCACAAACAAAACATTTTATTTCAAAGGTGGAGATACGATACTGACAGGCTATGTAGATGTTGACTTAGCCAAAAATGTTGACATCAGAATGAGCACTACAGGGTATGTCTATACTCTAGGAGGAACCGCAGTGAGTTGGGTTTCTCAACTATAGAAGATAGTTTCTCTCTCCACAACTGAAGCAGAATATGTCACTGTTGCGAAAGCCAGCAAGGAGATGGTTTGGCACCAAAGTTTCTTGGAAGAGTTAGGCAAGAAACAAGAGAACAATGTTTTGTATTGCGACAGTCAAAGTGCTATACATCTAGCAAAGAATCCGTCTTTTCATTCCAAAACGAAGCACATACAATTGAGATATCATTTTATCCGGTCTCTTCTGGAAGATGGAATTTTGAAACTTGAAAAGATCAGTGGAGCTCAAAATCTAGTAGACATGTTGACAAAGACGGTGACCACGGACAAACTGAAGTTGTGTTCAGCTTCAGTTGGCATGCTAGAATAACAAGACTAGAAATACTGCTGCATTGATCGAGGTGTGAAGACAGATTAAAATCAGTCTTCAAATGGGAGATTGTTGAAAATATTGGCAGTCGGTGGCTGTTAAAATTTAATTCAAATAGGGCTGTTATTGAATTCAAATGGAGCTGCTTAGAATTCAAAGGTAGGCTGCCTAATTGTGTTGAAAATGGTAATGGTTAAATGATACAATTAATCATTGTATTTTAGGGTAATTTCAAGATTAGTCCTTAAGTTTCAACTATA